CTCTATATATATATATATCAAGAATTGCACTAATCTTAATATAAATTCAAAAATTTTGAATTCCATCCTGACACAAAAAGTTTTAAAGTATTTTTATACAAATTTTTTTCAACTACTAATATTTAAATAAAATTAAAATTACTATATCCAAAAGGGTGAAAATCACATGTCCCAACCCTTATATTTGTCAAATTTAAATCAATTTCACCAAATAAATGGTGCTTGGGGACAATCTACCAAAGAAATTTAACTCCTAATTAATCTTATTATTAACAATCAAAGCAATAATTTACCTAAATAAATTAGGTTTATCTATAGAAAATAAGCATGTTGCCTTAAATTAGGGTGAAGTATATAAAAAATTTTAGGTCAAAAATTTGAATTAAAAACTTCATAGTAGAAAATATTAATAAATGCTTTTATTTTCTTAATCGTCTCATACAATTTTTTTTTGTAAGGGTTACTTAATGGAGAGATTATTACGGAGATCAGATACTGAGAACCGTTCAGTTTTGTGACTATGAACAACAAAGTACAGTGATGAACAATAACTTTTTTTTTATTATTCACAGTTATACAATCAAACGATTCTCTATGTCCGGACTCTGTATGTAATAATCTTCCTACTTTATGGGCTATGAACTGTTTACTACATTATTTTTGTCCATTAAAAAAATAGAAATAGGAACTAGGCCGATGGCCCATTTGTCCGCTACAATCGCTATAATTAGGCCCATCAGCTTCTATTTCCTTTTTTAATGAGCTAAACTGAAAGTAATTAGATATTATTTAATAAAAAAGATTTATGCTGCTTTGAGATTTTTTTTTTAATTTTTCTCTATTAAAAATTTTAAGATTAACAATATTCAATTTATTATCGGAATATTCTCATACAAATTTTTTCAATCTTTTAGCTGATGCAATTATTCTTTTGGCTTTTTGTTACAGATTTTTAGGTTTTTGTGTCTTTTTGTAGCTTGTTTTTTTCATTTTAGCATAGTTTAAAAGGGGAAAAAATTAATCATAAAATTTATTTCCATTTTATTATATTTTAATTGTATTTTTATTCATAAATAAATAATTTACATGTATTTTTATTGTATAACTTTTTGACTTAATTTTATAACATTTGTATTTTAAGATTATGTTGTTAATGCCATTATTTATTTAAAAAAAAAAATTGCTGTCCGCGGTGAAAGGGTTAAGAAATTTCCTAAAAGGCCTCATATATTTAAGAAAGGCTAATAAATGCAAGGATAATATTGGCCATGCTAATTGAGAGTCTAATGGATCTTTAAATTAGATTCATTACTAATTTTATAAATAAAAAAATGATTTTTAAAATAAAAAATTACGTAAAAATTAGTTTATTTTATACGCTAGAAAACTGTTGCGGGCTAGAATATATGTAGTGGTAGAGTTAGGAATTTTCGTCTTAGCATTGTACGGATATCCAATACACAAAGAGAAGAAAAATGAAATACCATAATTTTTACATGAAAAAACTTGAAAAAATATAAAATCACGGAGCTTCGCTAAGTTGAAATGATTCAACTAGTGTTTGATTAGATTATAAGTGACTCACTAATTCTTGAAATTTAGTATGACCATATTACAATAATCAACCATCCGGTTTAAATCCAATTATAAGCTGAGATCGAAAATCTCGCAACGTTTAGTGGTCGAGACGAAAACCGGTTTCAATTGATGGTATGGAAGAAGTCCGACACCAGTGGTAGTCTGGCAGAAGTCTGGCATCAGTTGGCTATGGGGTGGAAGTCTAATGATGATCGAGGAGGAGTCTGGTGGCAAAAAAACTCAAGTTTCTCTTCTTCCTTCTCTTTCAGGCGATGGTGGCCGTGGTTTGGTGGAGGCAACTGGTGGTGGAGGGCGGCGACAGGCAAAGGTGGTTAAGCGAGCTTGCTTGGGGTGTAAATGGTTCTCATTCAAAACTATGCGCGTTTAATTTGCATAAAAAATATCAAGTAAAAGGCAGCATATGATAATAATATAGCAGTGGTGGTGGCAGGTGAACGATAATAGGTAGCAAATAGTTGTGGGTGGCGGCGGAGGGCACCCATGCATAGGAGGTGGTGAGGCTTCATGCACATGAAATGCTTGAAATTCCTAAAATTTGATGAATTCCAAATAAAATGAAAGTAAAAAAGAAGGATGAATTGTAAATATATATAAACAAATTATTTTACTTTTTCATCTAAT